AAATATTGTGCAACGCGCGTGCGAGATTCACGTGTGTAAAATCGATGACAATTCCAATCATCGTCGGATGTCAAAAGCCAACCGATTTCTATTCTCCGCATTGATGTTATTATATTTGTATTATAATCGGCATACACACAACAATGGCTCAATCAAATGTCATTTTCATTCGGTTCGTCAAATATTATAATCATTTTCTTCGATCGTGAAGTTGCAAAATGCATGTATGGAGCTCTCCGAGATGTGTCTCGCGCGCTCCCTTATTCGGACCGATCATTGTTGTTGTCCGTCAAAAAATCGGCAAGGCCAACACAATGCGTCGATAATATTATTATCTTTTGAGAAAGAAGAGAGAGAGACAAGGAGACGCTCAACTCTTCTAGAGTGTGTCCTACGCAAAATACGAGTGTGTCGCAACCTCGCAATTATCCTGTCATCGTTGTCACTTCGTGCACTTACAAATAATATTTATGGATATTTTTCTCGTCTGCCTCGTTCGTTGGGGCGGGGGATACGTATAGACACTCCCGGGCGCGTTCGCAAGAGCCTTGAAGCACTCGAAAGAGGATCGTTCCGAAAAGTTCGAGAGAATGAGAGAGAGAGAGAGAGAGAGAGAAAGAACGATTATATTCCGTGGGTGCTTGCGTAACGCTGCGACAAAAATCACTGACCCAGTTACGCTGGACTTTGTTGTCGTTCCTTTATAGTATAATATATATTTTTTCTTCTTGTCTCTCGAGCGCATTTGAACGGCCGATTGTTTTTACGCGCTGGATCGGCTTTAATGTATTGTTTTTTCGCCGAAAAACGTGGTCGATCGAGTCCAAAGAAAAAGGGAAAGGCATATTATACTCGTACACTTATATAGTATTTATACGAAGCTCGCAGAAGCCGCGGCAGCAGCGAGAAATCATCGTGCGGTGAATTTGTCGTATCTATTTGTAGCGAGATTATGCGCCTTCTTTGCGGATTTATGCAACTTGAAATTCCTTCGGTGTATGTATACCGACAGCAGTGCGCGACGTCGCTGCTCTTGCTATTATATGCCGCCAAACACATACAAAACTCAGACACTTGTACGAGCACAGGTCCTGGTTTATAGCATAGAGACGAAATAGAAAGGAATCCATATGAAACTGATCGAATCAAAAGAGCATCTCGATCGATGTAGGTGAAAGCGCGCAGAGATGCTGCTGCTGCTGCTGTGTGCTAGCTTGCTCCGACCTATGCGACCTTCGAGCGCGAGGTGCTTCATATATTATAAATACACGACGTCAGCATCCGCATACGTATATAATATATAAAACCTAGGCCGCGCGAGCCGATCTGTATATGAGTTTTGAGCTCGTTTTAATCGACGATCCTCGCGGCTGCCTACAGCGATGATTTATTAAAGATATGTGTGTACATAATGTGTTGGTATATAAAACTACTCTTCCGTTAAGCGGATCGATTGTAGCGCGCTTATAAGCTGCGATCTCCAGATGTGTCGCCGAGATAAGAATTGCTACTCGGCGCGATCGGCACTAAGAGAGAGAAGACCCTTTTTTGGTGAATTATATACGTATAGGTACCGGTGAGCTCGCGCGTGCGCGATCGTGAATGATACTTTTTTTTCATCTTCAAACCGTCCCATCTTCGAAAACTTTCTCTAAAATCTGCTTTTTCCGTACCTTTTAATGTATAACGTGTCTGTGTGTCGCCCGCGCGTGAGCTTATATTTACGTTCAAACACGATTTTCACTTTCGATTCTTTACGCTTTTTTTTTATTTAAATGTATGTATATAAATACGCTATATATAAATAAACGCTTGGTCAGACACAAGAGATATCATTTTTTTATCGGCTGTGCCACAGCTCGCCCAGCAGTAGGCCCAGAGCTCGTAATCGAGACGCATCGCGCTCGTATTATGCACTTTGAAATTGAACGGATCCGCTGAAAAATTCCTGAATCTCGCGTACACACATACGTATACAGATATCGTCGCGTCTTTGAGCCTTTCCAAAATGCTACGTATTATATGGTGTATACCGTTGAGCTTATGGTACATTAAACGGAACATAACGCCATTACTTATATTTTACATCGGCGCAGCAGCAGCGATTGCATTTTTCGATCGTCGCACCGGCGTATGTGCATGTGTTCGAGTGCAGCAACAGCAACTACAGCAGCAGCAGATCGCAATACGTGCGAGCGAACCCCGTCATATCGGCGATATTAATGAGTTTGCATGAAATCCCGTTTTCCAATACGTCTTATTAGCATAATAAATTCGGCCTCTCTTTCGCTAATGCTGTACTCGCTCTGCACTGCGTATACTGCACTCTACCGCCGCCGCCGCCGGCTGGGGTGTAAAAAGCTTTTTAACTTGCGTATACGAGAGAGAGATAGAGGGCAATGATGCGTATTTACTCGCGTTATAGTGCGCCTATACCATAGGCTTCGAGTCGTTATTGTCGTCCTCGGCGTCGTCGACTGGAAAATTTATATTTTATTAAAATATTGTAATGGACGAGCGAAGAAGGATAATAACGTGATTTACAGGCTTGGCTACGTACGCAGGAGTGCGAGCCAGCAGAGAGAGTAAATTGTTTTTCGTGATTAATGAAGATCCAGATTATTCTTTTTCTACGACGTATACGCGCACGTTTATATCATGCGTGCACGCAGCAGCAGCAGCAGCAGCAATTCACCTTTGGGATTTTGCGTTATATTACGCACCCGAGGCTCTTGACTGTGTTATATTATTCTGACAATGTCTCGTGCGCGTTTTTCGGCTCAGGACGTATCATACATCATATTATGTACTACTATGATTGTCACGTTCTTGCGATGCCGTTGCGAAATTTTCAAAATAGTTTTACGAGCTCCGCTCGCTCGCGCAACTTTATCGTACCTGTAAATCGCAGAAATTATCGTCTCTCGCGATCATTAATCAGTTCGGGGCGAACCCCGGACTTCTCATATCTGTACAGGAGTTTGCGTTGTATAGCTCGTGTACACGCGCGGAGGACTCGCTCGTTGTTGCGCGGGTACACATAGCTCATGGTATCATTATCATTGATCGTGCGATCTCGCGGCAGCTGCTGAGCACGGGGACGACGACGACGACGATGCAGCTAGCGCAGTAACACGAAAACTCGAAAATTAGTCTCTCTCGTAAAAGCTCCTCGGCGCGGAATCGTTGCTGTCGTTGTTGTGCAAGCGTAATGTAGGCTCGATCTTGTAAGGTTTGTCGCCGAGCGAGGTTCCGCCCTGTGCGAAAGAGAAGAGAGAGCGAGAGAGTTAACGTGCGGAACAATGCGTGGGAGAATTTGCAGCCCCTTGGCGTGTGCACCTCTTTTTATGTACATATAATAATGTGTGTCTCTGTGACAATATTGTAAATGCGCCGTGTCCTATTAGTCACGTACAAAGTCGTGATCTTGCTCGACTTTATATACGTATGTATCTCGAGGCGGTATTATAAGAGCGAAAAATATATTGACATGTGCCGGTACGTCTCGGGGATGTGTGCAATATATAAATGTATTTGTGCTTCGCATTGCAATATACGTATAAAAAAAAAGTACAATAAGGATATTATAATAGATCTGTGTCGATCTAGTGGTGCCGCGCGCATGCAGTGCCAATTGTATCGCGCCGCGCTGCGCCTCTCCCTCGTGACCGCGGATTTATCCACGCGCGCACACATATAATACATAATAGTTTTGCTTTGCCTCGCTCGTTCCTTTCTCGCGCGCTTCTCTTACATTATATTATTGTATGGCTGTCGCGCATAAGTGCGACTTGACCGATGACCACAGCCACATCCTTCCATCCTTTATAAACACACCGAGAGACAACGCGCGAGCTGCTAAATATGAGCCGAGGCGCGCGGATAAATAGCATCGTATCAGGCGTGCTGATGCAAAAGTAATTAGAGTGAAAAATTAAGTGCGCGAGAGGCACAATCGCGCGCGACGCGTCGTTTGATTCGAGCTTCACAATGAGGGCCTAGAATGGAATATATATGTATCTAAGGCCTTCGACTTTCTTCTGCGGTGCACGAGGCGAGCAATGAAAGTGCTAAACGTATAATCAAGCGGCGATCGCTCGAGCTCTAATGTTGCCCGAAATTAATGCGCGGCGATTAGTCACTCTTAGTTTTTTTTCTATTTTTGTTCTTTATACGATCGGAACCCGCGCGCCAATTATACACGCGAACGCAACAACAACGACCGACGAGGATTAATCTCGCTGGAGAGACCGCACATTGTTGCGCGGGCGCGTGTGCTCGTAAAGAGCGCCTACATAGTAGAGACGAGAAAAAAAAACAACAACGATGATTTCGGTTCATAGGCTTGTCTCATCCTTTCAAAGCGTAGTATTTTCAAAGATCAAAAATGTGAAAGTATTTGTTGGGTCCTTTTGCGTGCATCGAGCATTATACCAAAACAAGGGTATACAAGAAAAAAATTGAGTAAGATGAACTCACACCGCTTTTTCTATTGTCGACATTCGCGCGCACTCGAACAGTTAAGTTTCATAGGCTTTTCACGCATGAAAAACAGATTGTAAGTCCTATAAGGAATAAAGGTCTGCGTTTCAATTATCCGATTTACCTCCTCCACGAGGAAGCTCTTCAAAATTGGACGGGCTAAATGGTCACTGCGTACAAGGTATTGTTGGATATTTGCGAACGATAATTAATTGAAAAAGTTAACGAGCAAAGTTCAGGTATAATTCTTGCTTCGAGGCAAAAATTTTCTTCTAAAATATTGGGGAAACATTCTCTAGGACTTGTAGAAAGGTAAATAGAACATTTTTTACAATCACGACAATATTAATAACATTTTGAAATATTTTATTGACCTTTATCAAATTGAGAGATATTTATGTAGAAGATTTTCCAAAATTACTCGATAACGGCAAGACGAAGCGTACTCATAATAGCAGTAGTTTTCATTACGTTCAAAAGTCTCCAGACAAATCTCACCTTTCTAGGCTGTTCTATGGTTATGTACTTTACTTATGAGAGTTTTTAGAGTATCCTTGAGGGAAAAATCATTTCTGAAGAATGGCACATTCGAATGATTTTCGCCGATTATGTATTGTCATTATGTGCCTTTTAAGGGCACTCTGAAATCCAAATGATTTGTGACAGATATCACATACAAAAGGTTTGCTTTGATTATGTACTGAATTTATGTGTTTATTGAGGTCACTCTTATAGCCAAAGGATTTGTGACAAATCTCACACTCAAAGGGTTTGCTCTGATTGTGTACTGCATTTCTATGAGTACTAAGATTATATTTTCGTCCAAATGATTTGTGACAGATATCACATTCAAAAGGTTTGCTTAGATTATGTACTGAATTTATGTGTTTATTGAGGCCACTCTTATAGCCAAAGGATTTGTGACAAATCTCACACTCAAAGAGTTTTATACGATTATGTACTGTCATAACATGGGTTTTAAGTACCCACTTGTATGCAAATGATTTGTGACAGATATCACATTCAAAGGGTTTACTACGATTATGCACTGAATTTACGTGAACTTTGAGATTGTATTTTAGTCCAAATGATTTGTGACAAATCTGACATTCCAGGAGTTTGTCTAGATCATGAAATCTAATAATGTGATTTTTCAAGGTTTGCTGGTATCCAAATGATTTGCAGCAAGTTTCACACTCAAAAGGTTTGCTAAGATTATGTACTTTGAAAGCGTGTCCTTTGAGTTGAACCTGATATCCAAATGATTCATGACAGATATCACATTCGAAAGGTTTGCTCCGATTATGTACTGAATTTGTGTGCTTTTTGAGGTTACCTTTCTGTCCAAACGATTTGTGACAAATTGCGCATTCATAAGATTTAATGCTATTATGTGACGTTTCAGTATCTGTTTTTATATTCGCTTTTTCTTCATGATTCAATCGCGAATTTTCTTGTAATTGACAGCTATCGTCATAATCTAATTCTTTTTTTATCGAAATGATCATACCTAGATTATCATTGAAATCATTAGTTTGAATTTCGTTTTTTATTTCCACTATAGGTAGACAACTTTCATATTCAGTTTTGCAGATAGTTCTAAGAATACGTTCCGGTTTAACATCTTTGTACTCTACATCTATGATTATTTCTTCATCTAACTTTTTGGGTAACTCAATAGCCTCATTAATGTGATTTGCCTAAAAAAAAAAAAAAAATTGTGTAATAGCTTCTGATAGAGAAAAAACAATCCCTAGTTTAAATTATTTTACTCACCGATGATTCATTAAACCCCAATGTTTGAAAGTTCACTGAATCGGAATTATAATTGTCGCCTGCATCAGGCCAGGTATCATTTGGCTCTTTTTTCACTCTGAAGAAAAATAAAAATTACTTAAAAATATATTTTGTCGTGAACATAAAAAGTAAAACCTGATTGTGTCCTCTCTGCTTTCCATGGCTCGCTTGATTACACGTTTACACTGTGAATCCTCACGATACACACTGAGAAAATATTTGAGGTTATGCTTCTCAAGCAGCCAACATTGTACCTTGATATCGCCAATTTGTAAACACTTGGGTACTGTAATATCAGCGAGGGGATACCGCGATTGTGAGAGCATTTTGGTGATAACATCTCCCTCTATCATCGACTTGCCCCACTACACAGTTCGGTGATGTAATACGTAGAGGTCCTCGTATGTCATTAAAACTATACGGAAATTGTAATGAAAATGTCATTCATCCAGGCGCAGAATTAGCTTACGCATACATGCAATGTTAGTTAAGAAAAATTCATACAAAAGGAAAGTATATCTGTGAAGCACCACTGATGCAGTGATATTAAAAATGAAGTTCAATTAGTCTTTAGTCATCGATAACCAAAATACATGATTTGCATAAATTACATTTGTGTTACATTAAAATCAGAAAATGTTACCATTTTGAAATAGACCCATTTCCGAATACACTGTAATTTATACATGAAAAAAGGAATGATGACATTTTCAGTAGTAAGCTCTTAATCAATATATTAGCAGTAGTTTTGATTTTGAATCGTTACTCGCCGCAAGCGAATTTGAAGCGATTCTCGCGCACTAGGACATACAGTGCAGATTTTCAAAGAATCCTGGACAGCTTTTGCTCGCGGTCTCCGTATAGTAGTAGTACAAGTGGTACGACGTTAGCCGTATCGCAAAAAAAAGGTGGTAAAGCGTGGGAATGGACTTGGGAGAAGCAAAAGGATCTGTTCGCTCTTTAAACGCTCTGGCCTCGAACTTGGACACGCTGCAGCCGAGAGAGGAGGGTATTGTTTTCCAAAGTTAGGATAAGCTCGGCAGTACACGAGGCGATTAGACATTTTTTTCCCTACCGCCCGGATGTTTTGTTTGTCGAGCGCGCGTTCCGTTAGAATCGCAGCGCGTCGCGAGCTCGATTCACATACACAAACGGGTCCCTGATCCATGTATGCATACCTTGTAAGAAATTACGAATTTCGCAGCTTATAGATCGAAAATTGAGTTTACTCATTGCACCTAATCGAGCGATGTGTGTCGCAAGGCGAGCGCAGACAGCGACGTCTCTCAATCGGGCCTCGAGCTATCGAGAGCAGCCACATATGATCCGGGAAATACACAAGTCGCTCGATATCGGAGCGCATGAGAGAGAGCTACACGCGAACATATTCTACAATCTTCGAATACGCAGTAGGAGAGCCCGCAGTACAGGCCGCGCTTGTATACATCTATATATACGCTGTAAAGATGGAAAAAAATTAAACGCGAGACTGTGTTTACGTGTATCGATTTCGCTCGACGTATATATCCAGTACACTGCACATTCCCCGACAATGGCATTGTGTATCCTATATATACAACGCTTATATGTGCGCGCATGTAAGCCACGTGGCCGTTACGAATGATAATATAATTGCGATAATGTCCGTAGCATACATTCTCTCTCTCTCTCGCGAGATCCTTACTATCTGTGTCTGTGTGTGTGTCTATGTGTGTATCGCCGCGGGTGGATCAACATTTATAAGGTCGAAGGTTTTACTTCGTCAAAGGAATTCCATTATTCGTATCTCGTATCGATTGCAAATTATGCGCTGCAAGCTCACCGAGCATAAGTCTGTGTGTGTGTGCGTTTATATGCGCGAGTTGCAGTGCGCATTTTAAACGCGATCAAAGTCGTAGATGCAATAATTGCCGCCAATGACGAAACGTTTTCTTTATAAATGCGGCACTTTTTTTTTAACTGGAAAGCCAGCCGCGCGTATTATACATGGTTATATTCATCCTGCGCGCACTTCGAAGGCTGACTCATCGATCCCGATGTACGTGTACTCTATGACTTTTCGACACTTTCTGATCCATTCCCCGAGCTCGACTATATTATAAATACATAATAAATGCGTCGCTCTGCCCGCGTGATCGTGTAAAGCTCACGCGCAAATACACGTCCGGCAGTTCGTCGCGCCCGCATTAGGAGCCGCGCGCTGCATGTATAATATAATCCGACAACGAGCTCGCGCGTGAATTGAAAATCCTTAACAGCCTTATAATGTAGTCCAATCATCAATTCACACCTACGCCGCGTATGTGCGTGCGCTGTAACGTCGCGGGCCATTCCCGCGCGTCGTATGCACTTCCTTGTGCAATCCGCACACGCAGAGAGCAGCGCCAGTTTACATTTATATACGAATCGACTGACTCATACTCGGCTGGCTATACACCTCGGAGCGCATACGCTGCAGCGGTGTTACAGCCTTACCTCATACAGCCGTACGACAGCGGCGGCAGCAGCAGCAGCAGCAGCATCGGACGCATACAAAGGACCCGGAGGCTGATTCACGCCTTCGCATCCAGAGAAACGCTTTCTAACGTGACACTGCTATCCAGCAATTGCACACATGCACACACACAGCAACAGAGTATCATTGTTATTAACGCACATTTTCCAATGGATGTTTACTTTTACTTCTCCGGCTTGCGAGCTCGTCTCTTGCGATGTGTTTCTTTTTCCTCCTCGCTCAGCTCGCGTCATAATATGTAGCATATAGTTGCGTAACGAGACACGTACGATGATGGGACCTTTTTTCGCGTGTCGCACTTCTCTCTCTCACTCGTGTCTCTTTTCCCCCTTTCGACGATTAAGACATTTGCGCGATCGCGACCTCGTGTGTAATAAAGCAATACGATCGTTGTTGTGCCTCGCATACCTACGGTGTATATTTATACGAACTTGTTGATTCAAGCCTTATACGGCTACTCCTTTTAAGCAGTGCCGAAATCCCGTAGATGCAATAATAGCGATTCAATTAGCAACGCGATCGCGTTAATATAGCGAGCAGCAGCCTCCAACGTTCGAGAGCCTTATCAATTTTACCTGAATATATTTCGCGTACGGATGTTTCGTTCGTCTAAACAGTTCTTAGAATCGGCCGTATAAATAATATACGAGGCGCGCTGTTAATTCTCGAAAAATCTTATCGCGCGCGCCACGTGTTTGCCTGTCTAATTGTTTTTTCAACTCCTTCGGGCTTAATTTAATGTATTCGTTATTTGCACTTTAATTTATTTTAACATATATCCTCTCTCTCATATATGCGCCGTGTTATATACACGCAGCGAAGGAACGAACGAACGAGCGAGCGAGAGAGAAAAAAAGTCCGTGCGCATACTTGGACGCTGAGTCAGTGCGACGAGGCGCGATGTTTATGATAGCAAAAAGAGCCAAGACCAAATCCGCAACACCGGACATATCCGCATATATTTACATTGAGTCGCGCAAAAATAGCTAAATGTGTCTTCGGCTCGGAGCCGAGAGTCACCTATACCAGCGCACCGATCCGGCTTGTCAACTGGCTTATATTCATATTAGCGCGCATCTTTCCTGCGCCGGCTTAATTAATTGCTCATACATGAGATCACTGCGGATCGGCCACAGCAGCTGCCGAGCGAGACGCATATTATAGACAATTTTTTAACGACTTTTTGAAGCAAAACGCTTGTAACGACGACGATCGGTCGATCGCATTCGAGCACAGAATAATCGTGTCGTGAAAATGTCCGTGCGCATGAGACGCTCGAGCGACACGGATCCGTGGCGTTAATATAATTATATGTAGAAACAAAGCCGCGATCGAAGAGGCGCGTGTGACTAAACGTTCGTTGTCACGTTGCCACATTTGGTGAGAAGCGCTCAAACCACTAATCTGCCCACGCGTATAAACGAGTACAGGTACACAATGTATCCCCCTCGTCGTAGCTGCACATCCTCGCGCTTGCGTATGCTACGACGACGATGGGAGCTTGGGAAAAGCCAATCGTCGGCGCGCAAGCTGCAGCAGTGCGCGGCGTATTATAGCTTGAAAATCAGCTGTGGGCAACCTGTGCGCGCGCACTTGAAAGTGCATACACATATAGAAAGTTATCTTATCCGGGCATAGAATTCAATTTATCTGCTTTGCATTACAATGCAGGCATAAAAAGCTGCGCTGCAGCTTGTAAAGTACTTGGCGTCGGCGTTGGCGGCAGCGACGTCTAGAGCATGCAGAGCTCGTCGACCTTACCACACACACACACACACACACACACACACACACACACACACACACACAGGATTCGAGCGATGTTTATCGTTTGGCCATCGTAAAGTGTACACACACACACACGTACACACATGCGAGAGCAAGATGCACATAGTGAGAGTGAAGCTCTCAGCCGCGCGCATATACACACGAGAGCTGCTACATGCGAATTAAAGGTGTCGGTGGAAGGCGGCCTTATCAGCCAGCAGAGATCGGCTTAATTAATTTACGGCTGCACGGCGCGGCGGGTACGTGCAGCTACGAGCTGCAGCGCAGCTTGTTTCACCCGAATATCAATAAATTCGAAGAGAAAAGGATCGCTCTCGGCTGGCTGCTGCGCAGCAGCTCGTATTATTGCTCGTGTGGTGATCACCGATGCACAGCTGCCAGGATCATCATACTGCAAGCACATGGCGCATCGTGAGCAACATCTTACTCGCGATATGGACAATTATTGATATTCGTACGTAATTGTGCGCGAGAGACGATTCGTCGTGTGTGCAGCGCGTTCGAACCCATTACTTTCGCTGTCATCGCGTGTACATACTGCAACACACATATTGCTCGTCGCCGCGTGAGCTATATTACAGCATGCATATCGTACTTATAAAGTGCAGCCACGTGCCTAATATGGGCGTGTCAAGTAAACTCGCGCGCGCGAGGCCTGTCTGAGACTACTTGCACATTTTCACTTTTTATTCGTCGTGTGTGCAGCATGGACACACTCGAGCACACATACACACACACACACCCGTCTTCCTACGCGATTCCCGAAGCAGTACGACGACGTCGACGATGGCGCGCGCGCGCGACGTGTCTATGCAGCTCGGCTCTCGGCGCTGGCATTATATTGTAATGCGAACGCGGACAAATTTTGCACGCTGACAAATTTATTTGAGCCTCGAACTTGCCTGTCTGCCTCGAGACTCGCGCCAACAGCAGCAGCAGCAGCCTGTA